AAGCACAGCCTCCAGCAAGACTGTTATCAGCTGTGTTTCCTCAATGTCTTCATTTCAGACAGAACGAGCTGAGCCCATGAACTTTTTGGAATGAGAGATGTTTTTCCTCTTTTGTTTTCAGGAAATATGACGGGTGCCAGTATAACACTGCCAAAGGGGGGGGGGGCAGTCTCGAGTCCTTTTCTCACCCCCAGCCCCTGTTTCCCCCCCAGTCACCAGTATCTTGCTTCTACAAAGTTTTGCTCCTATGAATACGCCTTTCCTTGCTGGCTACTGACTTTACTTCTAGAGGGGCGAATCCTATGAAATCGCTCATAATTTCCTTTTGGGGTATCCCAACCAGCACCCCTTCTGCTATCACACCAGGCCATGAAATGCGGGCTTAGTGCTGAGAGGACAAGACTGGACACAAAGGGATAAACGCTCAGCTTTGAGCATAAAAATAACTTTTTTAAATGTTTTAATTGATTTTTAGAGAGAGAGGAAGGGAGAAGGATAATAGAGGGATAGAAACATCGGTGAGAGAAACATCATCGATCGGCTGCCTCCTGCACACCCCCTACAGGGGATCCAGCCCAGCCGGGCATGTGTCCTGAGTGGGAATCAAACTGTGTCGATGCTCAACCACTGAGCCATGCCGGCTGAGCCAAAGTAACTTCTTTGAGTGTTTTTTTAAGTCCTTGGTGAGATAGTGCTCTTGAAATTCGGTCTCACCAGTGTGAGTAAAAGCTCCCAAAATGTATGTTCTCTCGTAAAGGCTGCAAGTGGAGACTGACCTCAGCATGAATCAGAGAAGGGAGAGATGCAAGATGCAGCTGAGGGAGGAGGACACGCAGAGAGGAAGAGCCGGGAGAGGCGCAGGGGGAAGAGGTGAGAGCCTGGCTGCAGCCTTCAGGGTGGAGACGTGGAGACCAGGTAGCCTGTCCCCTCTCCCCCAAGTGGACCTGGAAAGATGGCCCATGGCGAGAACCTCACTGTGGGCCCACGTAGTGACAGGGGTCCATCCCAGGAAACCGACACCCCTCTGATCACTTCTCCAGAGGGAATGAATGCAGGGCCTGGGGTACGCAGGTGACAGACGGCTGAGAAGCCAAACGGAACTGGAAGTCACCTCTTGAGTTCAGCTACTGCAGGAAGCTGCCCCCGATTCTGGAGCTGAAGGGACAGAAGGGGGCCTTGCAGGGGCCAGGCTAGGGGAGGAAGTTAGAACACAGAGGTCTACCTGGAGGAAGAGGGGCCGTGGAGGACATACACAGTCACCCGAGATGTAGCCGGAGGGGGAGGAAAGAGCACCCAGCTTCTCCCCCTGTGCCTCCCACTGGCCTCGTCCAGTTGACCCAGGCACCTGGGAAATGCAGCTGTTGGGGGTCAGCCCAACTCTGATGCAGAGAAAGGGAAGAGCCAGGAGGGGATCTGAAGGCAAAGAGGCCCAGCCCCCCACCGCCTGGCAGGTGGGAGAACACCGCTGCTCCCCGTGGTGTGGGTGCCCCAATGGGGAGTATGGAACGTGCTGAGGGGACAGCTCAGGGTGAGGAGTGGAGGTCACCCCTGTAAGGAGCAAAGTGACCCTGATCGAGGGTCACAGAGCAGCCAAGCTGGGAGTGATCAAATCATATCTGGATTCAGAGTTCCACCTCCCGAATAATGAAATGCAAATGACAGAACACAACGCGGCACTAGGAGTGACAAAACCCTGGTGTGGAAGCCAGGGGACGGTTCGGATAGAATGATTTTGTGGAATGTGATTGGAGAGATTAGCCATATCTCTAAAGAAATATCTAATATGATTTTAAATATGTATGTGCAAATTAATGAATTAAATATATATTTTTAAAAATGAGTGCAAAGAAAAATTCACTCATTTTTGCACATCTGAGTCATCTGTAAATTTCAACAACCCCAATGTACCAGCTGAGAAGTGCTAGTTACGCTGTAGTTCAGTGGTCTCTTTGGCAGCTGTTGTTGTGGGTTTTTTTCCTGCAAACTCAGCGTCTTCTCCCTCGTTCTGCATTTTATGTTCCTTTGTGGAGGATTCACTTCTTACCTGGAGTGGAGTTAAAATCCCATCCCCTGGTTTGCAGAAACATGGTGTACTCCTTAAGGGCGTGCTAGCCGCTGTAACAAACAAATCTCCACTTTTCAGTGACTTAACACAGTTTGTTTTCCACCCAATAGTGCAGAGCGAGTGTTAAGTGTGTGGCTTTTTTAGGGGCAGTTTAGGAACTGGGTTCTTCCTATCTGTGGCTCTGCCACCCCCCAGGAGTCCTTTGCTTCCCGCTGGTGGGTAGGGACAGAGCAGGGAGAGTAGGTGCCAGAGGCTTTTAAGGGAAGCACAAGTTCTACCCAGATTCCATTGGCCAAAATTGTTACTTGGCCACACCTGACTGCAAGGGATGCTGGGAAATGTAGTCCAGGAGGAAGAGGAAGTGGGTGTGGTGCATACCCAGCCAATCTCCCCACACCCAAACCCCGTGAGATTGCCTGTGCGGCGCCATTAAACGCCCCCCAGCAATGGAGCTTGTTGACAGCCTGCCCTTGGAACTTTGTTCCCGCACCCTGTGGGCCACAACGCCAGGCTCACTTCAGCTCTCCCTGTACCGGGAACAGGAGGACTGGCTTGGAAGCCCATTTAACCGTTCACTTAGCAAACATCTGCAGTGATGGCTAAGGCATGGTTCCCGTCCGCTGGGGGCTTTTTTTGTCCCTGGAGCCAGTATTCCCAGGAGGAGAGAACTGCTGCGCCGGGATGACGTCGAAACACATGTCTGCACGCGTGAAGGCCCACAGCCGAGGTTGGCTCGGGAAAACCTGTCCGCATCCTCACCGGGCAGCCTGCCCCCTCTCTCCAGGGCTCGCCAGGAGTGCCCAGACCTCTGACCCTCACCCCGTCGGCACCCCCCACCTCTCGCAGCAGGGGCCGGCTCTGTGAGCTGTAACGTGTGCAGGTGGGTTATGCACGGTATTCATGCATGTGGTTGTGAGTGGTTGGTGTACAGTCGGGTTTCTCGGCCTCAGTCCTTCTGACCATTGGGGCCGCATGACTGTGCTGTGTGTGGAGGGTGGGGCTGCCCTCCGTACTGCAGGATCCTGACCGCTATCCGCCAGGCACTGCCAGTTACCCCCACTCTGAGTGTGACAACCAAAAACGTCTCCAGGCCTTGCCAAATGTCCCCTGGGCGGCAAAATCGTCCTCAGTTGGGAACCATTAGCCAAAATCAGTTTACACATGTGAATCACCTGGGAAGCTGTAGAAACTTACGGATCCGGACCCAGCCAGTCCACTCCTAGGCATGTGCCTGAAATACGCGAGCACATGTATTCACAAAGGCTGTGGCACTGTTCCTGTCAGCTTTATTAGTCACAGCTAGTACCCGGGAGCAGCCCCGACGGCCGCCAACAGGAGAGTAGATGCGCCAACTACAGTGTATTTCCGTGGTGGAACAGTACTCATCAGTAAGAAAGGTGGTCGGCAGCCCGCTCGCATCTCACCGCTGTCAGGTTTAGCGGCAGCCTCACACCAGAGCACACCCTGTGTGGTCCGTGTCTACGAAGCTCTAGGACTGGCGAGCTAGCCGTGACAGGTCGGGAGAGAGGTTATTGGGGAGGGGGCAGGAAAGAGGTGGGGGAGAGGGGCTATTGGCTGGAAACCTGGGATGCTGGGAATTTCTATCTTGACCTACGGGTGGCACGTGGGTGTATATATAACAATTCATCAAGCTGTGCACTTTAGATTTCATGCATATCTGTACGCAGTTATTCTTTATATTTCCGGTGAGTGCTGTAATGAATTACCATAAGCTTGGTGGCTTAAAAGAACAGAAATGTATTCTCTCCCAGCTCTGGAGGCCAGGGTGTGAAGTCAAGGTGTCAGCAAAGCCAGCTCTCTCTGGGGGCTCCAGGGCAGAATCCTTCTCTCGTTTAGCTTCGGATGGTTCCTTGACCTGAAGCCACATCGCTCCTATGTCTGCCCCTCGGCCACACTGCCGCCGCCTGAGTGTGGGCCCGATCTGCCCCTGCCGCCCTCGTAAGGATCCAGGGGGTGGCATTTAAGGTCAACCGACAATCCAGGATGATTTTCCCATCCCAAGATCCTTAGTCACATTTGCCAAGTCTTTGCCACAAAAGGTAATATCCAGTTCACCACTCTATCACCAGCACAAACTTGACTAAATGAACTTACTAAACATCGAATGAATGAATGGGTTAATAAAAACAGATACTAACAAGATCTGTTTTTTACGCATAACACTTCTAACACCCCATGGGTGGGTTTTGCACACCAAGCAATGCTCTGATTTTCTGTGGACACAACTGAGTGCCCTGAAATTTAATTCATTCTGACGCTAACTACCCAGAGTTAGCACAGACCTCACAGGTTAAGGGCTCAGTCTCACAGGATGGCCCCCCCTTCAGACGCCAGTCACAATCAGAGGGTTCCCATGTTACCCACACTTCTGTCTATTAGGCTGTGTATCAAGGGTTCCCACAGCAGCCTCCTCAGGTTCAATAATTTGCTAAACCAGCTGACAGAACTCAGGGGACCCCTTTGCTTACATTCGCTGGTTTGTTATAAAGGACACAAATGAACAGCCAGATGAAGGTGTATATAAGGTGAGGTCCGGAAGGGTGACGAGTGCGTAAATTGCTGTCCCCGGAGTTGAGGGTGCGCTACTCTCCAGGCACGTGAATATGTTTCAGCAAAAGGTCTCTACACTCCTTATTTTAAGATTTTCTATGGAGGTTACATTACTTAGGGACGAATGATTAAATCATTCGTGATTAACTCCATCTCCAGCCCCTCCTGCCTTCTACCTGGAGGTCAGGGATGGGGCTGCAAGTTCCAAACCTCATCACCTGGTTGGTTCCTCTAGCAATCAGTCCCCATCCTGAAACCATCTAGGGGCCACCCAGGTCACCTCAGAGCATAAATTCGGGTGTGGTTGAAGGGGCTCCTTAGAAATAACCTCAACCCAGCAGCCGAGGGTCCTGCCCTGCCTCCTGCCAAGACCTCGCCAAAATGCCGTCTCAAATGGAACACGCCATGGAAACCATGATGTTCACGTTTCATAAGTTTGCTGGGGATAAAGGCTGCTTAACAAAGGAGGACCTAAGAGTACTCATGGAAAAGGAGTTCCCTGGATTTTTGGAAAATCAAAAAGACCCTCTGGCTGTGGACAAAATAATGAAGGACCTGGACCAGTGCCGAGACGGCAGAGTTGGCTTCCAGAGCTTCTTTTCGCTAATTGCTGGGCTCACCATCGCATGCAATGACTATTTCGTAGTACACATGAAGCAGAAGGGAAGGAAGTGAGCAGTTACTTTGCCCTGATAAGAGTTCTCCCAGTGGGTCCCTTAAGGAATTTGTGCCCCACAGCTTCCCCCTGTATAAGAATTTCATGATTGGGACTCTTAAAAAAAATGTACAAATAAAATCCCACCCGCATTGAACAAGAGAAAGAAAAGCCAATAAATCCAGATAAGCTTTTGATTTTTATATTGCTTGTATCCTCTTGCCCCCCAATAAACAAGTTTTTTTTTAGTTCCCCCCCCCCCCCCCCGCAAAAAAACCTCAAATGCTCCTTTTACCTCTTCCAAGAAATTATGAGTTTCAGGAGCTCTTGTGCCCAGAACCCAAGACCAAGACCAACTGTGTATGTTCTTATTCTGTCACCATGTCCCAGTAGAGTGAGTGTTGCACAGTAAATTGGAACTGTTTAAAGTCAGAAGACAAACTCCAGCCCTGTCAGTTACCGGCTGCATGACTGTGACAAGTCCCTGTCCCACCCCGTTTCATCAGGCAGGGGGAATGCCAGGATTCTCGGGAGGATCCCTGAGATGGCATCTGCCCTTGTAAACCCGGTTGAAATCTAAAACAAATGCATTTCTTGCGTGCAAAAGCACCCCACACTGAGCCCATCTGTGAACAGCGACTTAGTGGACCAATCAAATAAAGTCAGAAGATGCTGGGCGGTTGCGCAAGTGGGGTTTCCGTGCCGGCTCAGGGTGGCACAGTCCGTGACCCCTGCACATGTGCAGAGCTTGCGAAAGAGCCGAGGGCGTTGGAGGCACCGAGGAGGAGCCCTGAGGAATCTAAGCTGGGTGGCGAGGCACTAGGTCCTCCGGAGGACACAGCTGTAAAAACCCTTTCCTAGGATGGAGATGAGGCCCTGGCCGGGTCACTTCGCCTCAGAACACTGTCCTGGTGCTGCTTCATGTGACAGAGCAGAACAAACAAACAAAACAAACACCAGCACATGGGGAGAGCGAAGTCTGGCGCCCTTTCTCCAAGCGGCCCTGCTTGGGCTGGGATTTGAGGCGGGTCCGTGGGGGAAGAAGAGGGCCCCGTCCCATGGAAATTTCCTAGTAGGGTTTATGCAGAAGCAAAGGTTTGGCAGTGCTAGCCCCGTCTCCTTGGCTAGACAGTGCCTCTTTGAAGAGGCAAAAGCAGCAGGAGGATGGGAAATGGCCCTCGAAGGAGCTGGTTTTAGTGGAATCCTCTTCTTCCAGAACGAACTGCCAAAAGCCGGCCCAGGCACCCCTCGCTTTATGGGGTTCAACTCAATTCACGTGTGGTCAGCAGGATACTGCCCCCCCGGAGATGTCTCACCCTGATTCCCGGAACTTATGCACACCTGATCTACGTGGTAGAAGGGACTTTGTCGATATGACCGAGTTGACCTGGTGATGTGGAGGTGATCCTGGGTCATCAGGTGGGCCCCGTGTCATCACATGAGCCCTTAAAACCAGAGGCCTTCCCAGCTGTGGTCAGAGACGACATGACCGTGGAGAAAGGATCAGAGAGATGCCATGTTGCCGGCTCTGAAGATGGAGGCAGGGGCCATGAGCCGAGGGATCAGGGTGCTGCTAGAAGCTGGAAAGGGCAAGGGATCCAATGTCCCCTAGAACCGCCAGAAGGAAGGCAGTCCTGCAATGCCTTGACTTAGCCCAGGGAGACTCACGCGGGACCCCTGACCTCCAGGACTCTCAGATAATAAACGTGTGTTTAAGCTGCTGTATTTGTGGACATTTATCACAGCACCCGCAGGAAACGAACACATCACTTTTCTTGAGCACCTACTGGTGCCCATGTCTGGGATGGAATCCCTAATCCTCATGACCTCCTGTGACACTGAGTTTGTGATGCCCTTCTACAGACGAGGACACAGCTCAGTGAGCGGAACCGACATCCGCAAGGGCCTGAGGAGGGTGGGAACCCTGGGCTGACTCCAGGCTGCCCTGAGGGCCTGGCTGCTCCCAGGTGAGATGGGTGTGTGACTGCGGCCAGGGTGAGGTGGCGGGATGTGAGTGTGCATGCAGCGTGGCCGGCGTTTAGTCAGTACCACTTCTCTCACCCCTTTTCCCAAACACCAGGTGTCCCTGGCTGCCAAGCAGGTGGCATTTTCTTCCTGACGGCCACTATAAAACCATTACGAAATCAGCCCTGGCCAGTGTGCTTGGTTGGTTGAGCATTGTCCCATGTACCAAAAGGTCGCCGGTTCAATTCCCGGTCAGGGCACATATCCAGGTTTCGGGTTTGATCCCTGGGCAGGGTGCGTTCTCTGTTCCCGTGGGCAGAAACCTCCCTGATGGATGCCTTCTTGGTGGGGGAAAGGACCGGAGCTCTCGTTGGCAGAACTGGGGGGCAGGGCCCCAGTGTCTCACCTCGGCCTGACTGCTTACTGTGTGACCTCTGGCCGGTCCCTGCACCCCTCTGTGGAGCAGCACACCGTTTGGGTGGCAGTGTTCTCCAGTCCCCTCGGTGCCAGCCTCCCGGGAGCCCAGGAGCTCACGCTGCCCCCACCCAGAGGACCGGCGGGGCTGGTGGCCGCTGTGGTCTGTGCACGTAGCCCGAGAGGTCACAGAGGCCCTGGCGCTGAGGTCGCTCTCCTGCATCTAACAGGCACAGGTGTGGGTTTCTCTCTGCCTGGATCCTTGCTCTCACCTCTGCTCTTTGGCTGCGCCTGGCTCCTGGACCGGGGATGAGACTTTGAGCTCCTTCCCCGGAAGGTCACGGCCCAGCCCTGGCCAGCGCTGCAGCCCTGCGTCCAGCTTGGCGTTGCCAGGGGGCGGCTGGCTGACCTCAGGCCAGCAGCTCCTTGGAAGGGAAGCCGGTGGCACTTACGGTTGGGAGGGAAGGTGCGTCCGGCTGTCCCTGGCAGTCCTTCCTCAAAAGAAAAAAAGCCAGGAGGGAACGGTCCCTAAGCGAAGCCTTTCTCTCGTTTTGCTGTCAACATGGGGAGAACGTGGGTGGAGGGGAGGCCGCCGTGCTGCCCCCTCTACCAGGGTGGACTGTGTCCTGAGAAAGATACACTCAGGTCTGATCCCCAGACCGGTGAACGTGACCTTGTTCGGAACGAGGGTCTTTGCAGATGAAGGTGACATAAAAGAGGTTGTGCTGGATGAGGCTGGCCCTGAATTCAACGACCGCGTCCTTACGAGAAGAGAGGAATGCAGACATAGATATATGGTGATGGGGCCGAGCGGGGAGCGATATGTCTACAAGCCTAGGAACGCCGAGGATTGCTGGCAACCCCAGAAGCTGGGACGGCGAGACGAGACGGCTCCTCCCCTGCAGCCTCCGCAGGGAGCGTGGCCCGCCCACACCGGGTTGTTAGCCGTCTCGCTTCCAGAGCTGTAGTTTCTGCTGTTGGAAGGCCCAGTGTGTGGCAGCCCCAAGACACTCAACACCCACTGGCTGCTCTTGCCCCTTTCTGATTAGTCAACGCTTTGAAGAGACACAAGAAAACCAGCAGATATGCCTCCAAGCTAAACATACCCAAGGTGAAGGACTGGCCTTGGTTCATAGCTCATGTCCTCCTTCATTGCTGGGCTCAAGCTGTGCTTTTATAAAGGAGGGCTGGTCAGTGATGTCCGTGGTACAGGCGGGGAAACCGAGGCAGCGGTGCCCCTGGCCCAGGCAGTCCCTCAGCAGCGCAGTCAGGCTGCCGCCCAGCCTCGCCCGTCCCATGGAGGCAGAGCAGCCTTCTTTCTGCACAGATGTTGGACCGAGTCCTTGGAATTCCCAGCAACAGGGAGAGGGCCACAAGCAATTTCAAAGCTCAAATTAGGACGCTGGACTGTGGCTCTGTAACCTGCTTTGTGGCGAGCTTGGGAAGAGACTGGTGGCTGGGCTGGTCCTGACTCCAGCCTGGGCCATGGGACTCCTTTTCATGAGCACAAACTGCCCTCGGCCCTGTCGAAACGAACGGGCCCAGGCCGGAGGCTGTGGTCACGGGAGTTTCCCCACCCGTGACCTCTCCTGCGCTGTGCAGACCCTGTCGTCTGCTGGCAGCACCCACGCGGTGCCCCCGCCCGGCACATCCCTCCTGTCCCTCCCTACAACACCCAGACACACACCAGCAGCCGGGAAGGCCGTGGGGACTGCATCGGGGGGGGGGGGGGGAGGATCATTTCTGCAGAGCTGCAGGGGCCCAGCGGGCACCACCAACAGGACCACCTTTGAGTTTGAAGCCCCATATTTCAGAAGGGGACCCCGAGGCCCTGAGAGGAAGAGCAGCTTGCTGAAGTTGCAATATTTACAGCCTCCCATGTGGACGGGAGGCAGGAGTGTCCACGGGGCACGTGGTGGGCGCAGAGGGAGCTGGGTGGTAGGACCCCTGGGCAGGCATGTTGGGAGGTGACCTTGGGCAGTGGCTGCCCCACGGTTGTCTCTGTGCGCTCACTCCCCCCGTGGCCTGTCCCAGCGCAGCGGGCTGAGCGAGGCTGAGGGAGCCACTGGCTCCCGTGCCTTCCTGCTCAGAAGCCTCTGAGGGCTTCCCATCTGTACCGGGGTGAGTAGTGTACCCTAAAACTCACATCCATGCGGAGCTTGTGTAACCTTACTTGGAAATAAGGTCTTTGCCGATGTGATCAGGTTAAAATGAGGTCACACTGAAGTGGGAAGGCCTTAATCCAAAGACTTGTAAGAAGAGGGAGATTTGGACACTGAAACACACAGACACAGGGACGATGCACGCGTGGAGCAGAGGCAGAGGTGGGGGCGATGTGGCCACAGTCCAGGAACCCCAGGAGCTGGAAGAGGCGGGAGGACCCTCCCCGAGAGCCTGAGGAGGGACCCGGCCCTGCCGACACCTTGATTTTGGACTTCTGGCCTCCTGGGCGGTGAAGGAATAAATGTCTCCTGTCCAATGCCACCCAGCTTGTGGGAACTTGGTGCAGCAGCCCCAGGAAGTGAACACAGTGGCCAAGCACCGTGCGGAAACACTGCTCCGTCTGTCCGCCTGTGGCAGCCTGCGGTGCCCAGCCTGCAGCAAAGGCTCTGAGAAGTCCCATAGGGAACTGTCGCCGTCTACGGGAGACACTCTGGGAAACGGTGGACAGAAAAGCCCTCCCGTCCCCTCCAGATGGAAAATTCTGTGGCTTTGGAGTAAGAAGCCAAGCTGTGAGGCCAATAGAAATTTGTAGGCATAATTAGATGCTATTTTTAAAAAATAGCCAAAATGCTCTTCCATTTTGGGGGTGAGAAGCCAAATCAGATTTGGGGAGAACAATTGCTGTAGTTAACCAATCAGACGCGAGCTCCA